AACCCTGAACTCTGAACCCTAAACTCAAGCGTAAGCCTGTGGATCTGGACATCTGGCTCCATGGGCCGCGCGGCGTCATCCAGATCCTCGCCGTTGCATTGGCCACCTGCAGAAAGACGGGAGGAGGGTTTAGGGCTTAGGGTTTGGGGTTTGGGGTTTAGGGTTTAGGGCTTAGGACTTCGGGTTTGGGGTTTTGGGGTTTGGGGTTTAGGGTTCAGGGTTTAGGGTTTAGAGTTCAGGGTTCGGGGTTCAGGGTTTAGGGTTCAGGGTTTATGTAGTGGAGGGGCCTTAATGGATAGAGCAGAGTTAAGGCGCCGACTGTAGCCTAAGCGTAGATGGACCATACCCAGGGACTCCAATACACCTTAGTTAAGGAATATACCTTGAATTATAGTAGGACCCTAAACCCTAAACCCTAAATCCTTTTAAGGTATATTCCTTAATTCAGGGGTATTGGAGTCTCTGGGTAAGTCAGACTCTGAGACTCCATTCTCCGACAGCTATCCCAAGGTATGTAGAGTCTGGGGTCTACTTCAAAATCATCATATCCAAAGCCATGAGATGATGGGACTGAATGATGATGAAAGCAGTTTTAGGATTTTGGGTTTAGGGTTTAGTGTTTATACTAATCAACCTACACTCTAACCCCCAATGTGAAAAGCCTACACCCTCAACCGGGCACTGAACCCGCATGAGACCCTGTATCACCCTCACAGAAACACTACCTGACACCCAAACCTCTGGCCCCCCCAGAGCCTGAATCCTCGTTTCATGTAGCCCTACACCGCAGAAAAGGGTTGAGGGTTTCGGGTTTAGGGTTTCGGGTTTAGGGTTCCGGGTTTAGGATTTAGGGCCTTACCCGAAACCCTGGACTAGGATGAGCCGGTCCTTGGCTTGCTCCACCACGTGAAAGTCATTGCAGCCGTTGCCGATGCCAGGGATGAAGGACCAGGAAGGAAAGTGCTGAAAGCTCAGGGCCTCCCAGGGATAGAGGGCTTCTATCAGGTTCCACCGAGATTCTACAAGGGTTGCTTCAGGGCTCTGACAGGGTTCTAGAAGGGGAGAAGGGTTCTATACGGGCTCTGTACAATTTCTAGCCGGGTTCTTTTAAAGGCGAGAAGGATGTTAGAAGGATTCCAGAAGGGTTCTGTAAGGGTTCTGTAAGGGTTCTAGAGGCATGGGTTCCAGAAGGGTTCTGGAAGGTTGTGTAGGGGTTCTGCAAGGATTCTAGAAGGGTTGTGAAAAGGCTCGATAAGCGGCTAGAAGCGCTCTAGAAGGGTTCACTGAAGGTTCATACAACGTTCTATAAGGATCTAGAAGGGTTTGTGGGCTCTAGAGTTCTGGAAGGGTTCTGTAGGTTGTAGAATCGCTCTAGAAGGTTCTAGAACGTTGCAGAAGGGTTCTATAAGAGGGCCTTTGGCTTCAGGTTAAGGTCCAGGCTTCTCCGGATTAGTACTTCGTTCTTGCGA